CTGTAATCACTAAACATTTCAGGGTAATCACTAAAATTGAATACTGTATGTTTATAAGCTCAATAATAATAAGACAGAGAACTTTAAATGAGACATGCTTGCACGTGTATTGTTCTCAATGTAATGTATTTTTATGACTTAAGGCAGCTGCATCAGAGATGCTAACTGTAATTATGGTGGTGTAAGTGTAACGAATGGACTCATGAAACGAACACATTGTGTTAATTCCTATTGCATTTATTTGGGCTTAGGCATGTGTCCGTGCGAAACTAGTACGTGCCACTTGGACACATCATTCCATATGTGTATTGTAAACAATTAAGTCCATTGATTTTGCTTGTGCTAGTTTAAAATTGTCACAAACATGGTTCAAAGTATTGGAAAATGTACATTCAATACTGTCCAGGGCTGTGTACCAGTGCGCACACCAACGAACAGTACTGAAGGCCACGTGTCGCCGAGGGCACAATGAGTAACTGGTAAACGCCACAAACCTAACGTATCCATGGACATAATGACCTGAGAATTTGTAGCCGATATATGTATTTCGCTGCCGGGCATGCGCGCGTAGGGAGCAGTTAATGGGCATATTGAGATTGACTGTGAGTGTTGCTTCGTGAACCTGAACTCAACTTATTCCCAACATATTGTAGCAGCATGCCTATAGGCACTCCCCGTCTGTGTTGTTTCCGTTTGTGCTGTTCGCCTGCCAGTACTTGCAGCCACGATATATAATTTCGGAGTGCATGGAATTGTCTGACCAAAAGCTGTGACATAACAATAGTCAATTAATAGGCTATAAACAATATATGATTGTATTGGTCTTTGATGATTTTTTTTCGCATTATTCTATTCAAATATTTGTTCCTTGAATTGATAAATATATTAATATGCAAAGCTTGCAAGTTAACTTTTTTTTTAATAAAATCTAGTTTATATTTTGTGTCAGGGGCTTTATGAGTCATTGCTAAATGCATAGTCCCACCTGGCAGGCTTGCTTAATTGAGATTTTACAACCATTATTTAACTGTCAAACAAAATATTTTTGAATTTATTAATTGTGGACGACGAATAAATAAAAATAACACGCAAAATTCGGCTATGTATGCCCTATCCCTAAACCCCTGCTTTGGGTTGCTGCAAACCAAAAATCTTTAGGGTCTAAATGCAAGTAAGGTAATATACCTTCACCCATCGGTAATTTCACCCATCGGTACCTTCACCCATCAGAAGATTTTATCCACGATGCAGACAAATTCACAAATGGGTGTTTGGTTATACATATCATCAGTAAATATGATTCTGTGCACAGTGCCTTGATTAGTCTCTTAGACCAGCACGGTATATAGAATCGCGACTTCGTATATCGAATTTGTTGAAGTCACAATTTTTTCTATGTTCGTTTTTTTAAACGTTTTAACAAAATACTTAAAAGAACTTGTTTAAGTGTCATTACGCATATTTATTTAGTGTTTCAATAAGTAACTGCATGCACACATTTGAGGGCATAATTATATTGATCAGGGCTACAAAAAAGGTGATATCTAACTATTCAAAAGTCTAGATATATTTGTTGTTCAAAAAGAAGTCACAGATAGTATATAATCAGTAATTCGACAATATTGCCATTCCAAGGTCAGCCACGTTGGTAAAACTACGCACTATGTAAAAAATAAGTGCAAAGACTGAGAATGCTGACTCACGACTCCCATGTGAACATGGCACAAGGGTAGAATATGCTCACTCGGAGAAGTGTGCACGTGCGTTGCCCCCCCCCCGCGCTGCACTCTGCGCGTGGCTGTTATTTATTAGTACTATTAATAAGCCCGGCGCACACGTGAGTAATTTTAAATACTTCAAAATACTCACGTGTGCGCCGAATTTTCGTTGAGTTTTCTGACGCATGCATCCAGAAACTCAATATCAAATATATTTGATAATTTTTGTCACATATATATATATATATATAACTGGACTGAACACATAATTCATATCAAATGTAAATTAGACAAACTTGAAAGTGCTTGTATTTTGACGGGAACCTCACGACCCGACCGCTCCTGGTGGTCCGCAGATGCTGGCGCTCTACATCGGAGTGACGTTCTGGCTGACCTGGTAACCCCTGTCCGGGTGACGGAGGAGCAACTGTCTCTAACACCGGCGAGGGAGGAGTTAGAGCTACCCTTGGTGACTCAGGTGACGGAGGATCTAGCATCACTGGCGTCGAGGTACCAGGTGTTACCGGGCTAATCTTGTTGAGCTGGGCCCTGTTCCTCGTAAGTGCCTGGGAAGTGGGGGTGGTGACCACATAGGAACGGGAATGCCCACCGGTTCCTGACACCACGCCAGATTCCTGTCTGTCAGGCCCCCAGACTTCGTCTGTTGACTGGAGACTTGGCAGTTCTTTTGCTTTCCTACGAAGAGAGAAGTTGCGTTGCGTTTTCTCCCTGTATGCCTCTTCTCTCTTTCTCTCTCTAATCTGGCTTGTGTTTGGCTGTTGTACAAACAACCCTTTTTGCACAACCGGAATCCTAGTTCACAACGACCTAGCCATGCAAACTTCTGCAGGGCTATACCCGTTCAAGAGAAGCACATTCCTATAATTGAGCATTGCGATGTATGGATCACCAGCAGCGGATAAGAGTTTACAGTTTGCACTGCGCGCTCTGCCTCACGGTTGCCTGATGGATGCCCTGGGCTGCTAGTTATGTGAGCAAACCCAAACTCATGGCTGAACTGCTCAAACTCCTGTGAAGCGTACTGCGGACCGTTATCTGAGATGACAGTCTCTGCAATCCCGTGCTGGGCGAAGATTGACTTCATGTGGTTTATTACAGCCCGAGACGACGTTGACTCCAGCGGAGATACTTTGATGTATCGCGAGTAGTAGCCTACCACAAGTAGATACTTACTCTTCTTTAGTTCAAACAAGTCCGTGGCAACTCTGCCATGGCCTATCTGGCATTGCTGAGGGAATGAGTGGTTCAACACTGCTATTGGTAGATTGGTTGCATTCCCTGCAGCGTTCCACAAGATCTGCCAGATCTCTGCTTACACCAGGCCACCATACAGCTCGCTTCGCTAGTTCGCGGCACTTCGTTATACCTTGCAGGGTTCTCCAAGAGCACTTATAGCCTGGCAGGCTGCCAGGCTATCGTCGAGCCCCGCCATCCTAAAATGCACCCACCACTCTAAATATCATAGCCCCCGGACCCCCCCCCCTAGCACGCAAACCGCCTTTGGCAATTTGCAACTAGGACCGTAAATGCAGCACCCGCCATGCTATAATGAAAAAGCTTGGCGAACCCTGCCTTGATGTCCTTCGTGCAGCTTCTCTAAGATGTCAGATCTTCGACTGCGAGGGATGACGATCCTGGTGCCACATAGAAGGAGATTATCCACGACAGTCAGCTCCATCCTATTGGGCCAATACTGTTTCGCGAGTCTTTTCAGACAGTTTCTTTCAGGCCATCCTTCTTCTACATACTGGATCACATCGCAACATACGTCATCCTCCTGATGGTGGTCACGGATGTATTCTAAACGTTTATCTTTTGCAGGAACAGATTCGGTGATCATGCACACAAACGCATCTGTTTCCTGTTCCAACGTACCATCGCTCTGTGTTGGCGGATAGGCCGGCGCACGGGAAAGCACATCAGCAGTGTGTAGCTCCTTACCAGGCACATGAATGATGTAGCTATACCGCATCAACCGCATGCGGAAAATCTGGATCCTCGGCGGCAATTGATCCATATCCTTAGAGCTCAACAGGGGAATAAGCGGCTTATGGTCAGTCTCGACCAGAAACTTGATTCCGATGAGGTATTCCCTGAATTTTTCACATGCCCAGACAATGGCCAATGCCTCCTTGTCAATTTGAGCATACCGCTGTTCTGTTGGAGACAGAGATCGAGATGCATATGCCACTGGTGGCCACTCTTTCTCATGCGCCGGGCTTTAGACAGCAGGCCATATGAGTTATACACGTCCCTTTTCTGATTTCGTGACCACCATCTAGGGATTTCGTTACCTTTCATATGATGAAGAAGTATGACCCTATAAACAACATATTTTCTTTTACACGCTCAAATCTTGTTCGTACAATATTTTTCTTTGCTCTCACTGCGATCCTATGCGTTCCCAGTTTGATCTTCAGTGCGCTCTCAATGCGCTCCCACTGCGTTCAGTGCGCTCCCACTGCGCTCAGTGCGCTCTCAATGCGCTCCCACTGCGCTCTGTGCGCTCTCAGTGCACTCTATGTGCTCTCAGTGCATCCAAGTAGCTCTCGCTGCGCTCTTACTACGCTCTCAATACGTTTGCAACTCGCTCACTGCGCGTGCGCGGCGTGTATATATAGAGCCTCCTGCGACCTTCAGGATCAGTCTGCATTCAGCCGCTGTATGCACCATGCCAAAATGAAGAGGCAGGTCTATCTATTTATTTCTATCTTATATATGTGCAGGGTGCGAAATTAACGGAGTCCGGAGTCAAATACTCCCTGATTTACTGTCGGACTCCCTGATTTGACATATGCAGGAGTCCGTGTGATCCGCTGAAAATTCTGACATACTAACTAGTTCGTTCCGGAGCACGGCCTCGCGGAATTACTGTATTTGTTCAGCTAATGTCCAAAGAAAATTTGGCAGATGTGGAACTGCATGAATCTTAAAAATAAGCACATGCATTATTGTTAATATCTTTAATTTTGAACCTCAGACTGCGGACTCCCTCATTTTGCTGCGGACTCCCTCTTTTTGAGGATAGGGAGTCCGTTGGACTTGTTCAAAAGTTAATTTCTACCCCTGTATGTGTGCGTGTTTCTGTGTGTATGAGTATCATGATATATACAATATCATTATTCATTACACCCGTAACAGCAAGTTTATCTTAATAAAGGGGCGTCTCCATCAACATATACTACCTGCATATGCTGTGTGCCAACTAGCTACTGCACTGTTACAAAATTGGTTTGTTTCCAAGTATGAAAAGACACGTGCCTTTTGTTCCGGTAACTTGGCCAATGTACTTCACCGTTGCAATATGGCCATCACACTGCACTCGGCTGCCAATGCTGAGAACAGGCACATTACAAGCACCATCCGTTCCCATTTCTTGTGTCCTATAAGCAAGCAAATTCAGTATTATTGTGTAACCATTTGTAAATTACTATGACCATAAATAACATACGTTGACTATGAAATTATGTTAATGCCTTTCCTGTTGCTGTGTGCTATGTTGATCTAGCCATGCTGTTTGTCGTAGTTTCGTACTACGGATACGCAATTAGATAAAGAACTCGTAGAGTTTGTGACAAGTACGTTTACTCCAGCAGAACCACACGTGCATCACTGTCGGACCAGTGCTGCCATCTATCGTGACATATAACATAACTATAACAAACTATGACATCCCCTTCTTTCTGAAGGTTAAAATTGAACTCAACTTTCAGGAATACAGTACTGTGTAAAAACAATGATATGGCTCTACAGAAAATGTTCATAAGTCTAATCTTTCAGGTGGCTTCACTTTTCTGGCTGATCGACGAATCTGACTGAAGCGATATGCTCTCAGCAGGCAGAGGATCAGGCGATGGGAGCACTGGTGCATGCTCTGATGCGATATCTGCCTGGCCGCTGCTGAAACTCTCAGCAGGTAGAGGATCAGGCGATGGGAGCACTGGTGCATGCTCTGATGCGATATCTGCCCGGCCGCTGCTGAAACTTTCCCCTGTAGGCCGCAATTGGCGACGATTCCGCCTGAATCTGCTTCCATTTGTCGCCACAACATAGGAGCGATTATGTTCACTGGTTTTCACCACTCCAGGTTCCCAGTGATGGCTGTGGGGATCTAGTACACGTACAGAATCACCTGGGTGGAGCACAGATAGTGTCTTAGAGGGTTTGTCATACTGCAACTTCTGTTTCTCCTGCCTCTCTTGTAGCATCGCGTTAGTGTCACCATCGACTAGGCACGGTGTGCATGCTGCTCGCGTTGCTGGAAGATTGGTCTGGTAGACTCTTGAGTTGAGCAGTTCTGCTGGCGAGTGTCATCTTGCACATCGAGTAAGGCTTTATCATGTTGGTCCGCATCGCGAACGCATCATCAGCCAGGAAGAAATATGGCATGTCCCTGTCGTCATTTGGTAGGGGGTCTGCTGGAGGAAGACAAATGACAAATGGTCCCATCTACTAGGCACTCATTCAGCTCTGAATCATTAAAGATCTGGGCATCTGACATGTGTCCGTGCCCTCCAACATCTATCCAGAAAAACTTATAGTCCGCATCGACGAGGCCTATTAGAACAATGGAAAAGAAGCCTTTATAGTTGTGATAAAGGCTTCCACTGTTCGCTGGCTTTCTGCAGGCAACATGTTTTCCACCAAGGGCTCCACGGGCATGAGGGACGTTCCATCTACGTGCAAACATTTTAGCAACGGCACGCCCTTCTTCAAAGGAGATTGGACAGCTGATGACTTAATTCTTCCTTGTACTCATCTACGATGGCCTGGCAGACTTCTCGTACTAGGACAGACATGGTGTTATGAGGAACTCTGAAGTCAAACTTCATACTGGCGTACTTGTCACCGGTTGCTAGGTGGTGCATAGTAATTGCAATTGTCAACCCTGGTTCCATAGCCTTCCTATACATGGTGTCTTGTTTGGTGCATCTTGGACCAAGTCATGCTAGGAGCTCATCAAACATCTTTGGTTGTACTTTCAGGAAGTTAAAGAAGGATGCAGGATCTTCATGTCGTAGCTCGGCCATTAGACAGTGACAGTGGCCAAACTGAACTCTTCTCCCAACGTCTAACCATGATCGAACCCAGCATCTCCTCTCCCTTCTTTCCCTCCTCCTTCTTCTCCTTCTAATGGTGTTGACAATGGCCTGGTCATCTTGTGCCTGCATATGTGCTAACTGTAGTACAATTGGCACATTCTGCCTGTCTGCGGCCATGATGAAGAGCAGATGAACACTGATTGTGTATAGAAGATGAAGCTGTATTTATACAAAAATCTGTGTTTGTGGGGGGGGGGTCAGTGGAAGTGGGATCGTAATAAGAACGCTCTGTGAGCCTATTGCAAACGTGGGAACAACGCCTTGGACGTATTACGAGCGTCATAGTCTCAGTGGCAGCGCAGTGTGGATGAAGAATGAGCGGAAACAAGCCCAGTAGGCATAGTGGAAGCGCAGTAACGGCGCAATAAGAAAGGGAGAGGCACGTATGGAGAGCCCAATGAGCATACAGCAGTCGCAAACCAGTCGCAGGGGACGATTTCTGCGACCCCAAGTCACTTCTATGCGTTGTTGCTACGTCTACGATACGCTCATGTAGTTCGCTTTGCGCTGCCACGGCGACTGTACTGCGTCATTACACCGCTCATTACAGAGCGCCGACCCGTTGCGCTTGTTTTGATTCGGACCAACACAAGCGCCGAGGTTTGGCGCTCAAGGTAGCTCATGGCGACCCTCTTCCGTCCTTGACAGTTTCCACTGCGTCTCAACCATGCAGTTACCATGCAACTCGTTCTCAGAGACCTTACTGCGCTTTTCCTCGCGCTTTCATACTTTTCAGGTTGCAGTGGGAGCGCGAACGTGATCGGGGGAAGGTGTGACAGGGGTATAAGCAAGAACCACTGGCTTGAAATATCTCATAGCGTGGGGGTCTCGGCCGTGGAGCGATGACAAATTATGAAATGTGGCACATATATAGATCAACTCAATGTGAATATACCCAAGAAATTTCATTACTATATATTTTAAAGGGTTTTGGAGTTATTGCCTATAGTTAATTATTTATATATGCACCCATGATAATCCTGCTCTATGTGTAATACATATGGGGAAACTCAATTAATTTCGCCTTGCGCAGTAAGTGCCAGTAACCCTGGGTTGGAATTTTATAGATTTGGTGTCAAAAGATGTGCAAGACTTTAGGCTGTAAAGTCATAATAGCTTGGGTGTGAAAAAACATTTCTGTAAACATATCAAGATAAAGGTACAGGGGCCGGATTCACCGCTCCCCTTTTTGGGGGTAAAAACACATTTTAGAGATGTATTTTTGGTCACGCATGTGTGCACCATTATATTTGAGTGCAACACAGTGGGATGTAGCACTTGTTTTTCATTGTCGGTTGTCAATTCTGTTTCTGTGTCAGTTGTAGTGTACATTTCTAAATTCTTCTACATGAAGCAACTTTCTATCCTCTACTAATACTTGTTTAGATATATTGTAACATGTGTTTTACAGATGTTTTACATAGAGTAGTCAGTAGAGTTCGACTAGGGGTTGTTTTAGTAATAGTTTTTTCTATAGACACAGCGTCGGGCATTTTGTGATGTCGCATTGATGTTACAGGATAAGCATGTTTTAGGTTAGGCACTTTCTAGAGTCATTGTGAAATAGGGCTGCAGATGGTGTTTAGACATGTGGGTATGGCGGGAGTTTTTGGTAAAACAAATTGGGTGTTGTGCGTGATTGGTTGGAAGAGTTTGGCTTGTTTGTGATTGGCGGAGAGTTTTGCATATAAATAGAGATTTGGAGAGAGATCGGGACTTGGTTGGAGGCTGGCGTTCGAATAGCGCGTACCGTGCAGACCTGTAAACAATATATCTTTTTACGTGAACACAAAATTTATCTGATTGAGTCAGGTCAGCCGGCATGTATGTTTCCTTAAGTTGTCAATTATTTTAGTTTTGACCGTAGTGCAAAATATATCGTATGCTTCTGAGTATTTTGTGTCTATACTGTAATACTGGCTTGACTTATTGATGACTTGCTCAAATACCGAGTAAAATCCGCATAGCAGAAGGCGTGATATTGTACTTCGATTGCCACACAGTCATTGTCTTGAACTTGAAGAAGAAGTTCAGTGTTGTTATTGTCATTATATTCTTCATTCCATGTATTCATGTGTTGATGTGGATATCGTATCACACAATCGCTTGGAGACGAAGTTAACCCTGACAATATATTATACTGCATATATGAGGCAAGGAGCTAACGTGCTCATATTTGTAACATATTCTATAATTAAGTATGGGATTTTCAAATTGATTGTTTCAGAACAAACCCGGTGTCCACGAGGGTCCTCGGTTATTACGAGAAGCTGGCTTCATAGATGGCCTTGAGAAGCTAGGTACTTGGAATCCTTTGGTATATTTTTAATGTTATTTGTGTGGGGCTTGAGTATTATGCAACACAAGGTTGAGAATGTGGAAGATACAGGAATCCGGTTAGCACGATAGAATCATATAGTCATCATGATTAGCATCATGATAGAATGAAAGAATTTCACTGTTGTTGTTCTGACTGACTCTCCCACCTTGTCTGCCTTTGTCACTATACCTCTCTAGACTCTTTTAAATTGTGTGGATATGATGTTAAGTTTTTGGATTATTTTCACGAAAAGGGACAAATAACTGCAATATGACACCCCTAAAAATACTATTATTAAATTTCGTAATCAGAATGGATTATTTTAAACTATATATTTATTGGCAACTGAGACTTGCCACAATGAGTAAAGCTATCTATCATCTTAGTAATTTAAAAAATTGTTTTAAATAGTATATAGTGTACAATATAATATATAGATTTGGGTCTTTACTGTTAATCTCTAAATTTATAGTGATTTAACATTGATCAAGCATTAATTATCTATATGCATGCTCTTACTATTAATATCTTTACGTTGAAATTGTTAAATTTTTCACACAATTACATGTTTAAACTCGAAAGAATAGCAGAATATAGCTACTGATGTATTTTTTTAACGACTTGTTGTGGAATCGTCTTTACCATTAGTGGAGTTGTATAAAGGTAAAGACTAATGAAAATAACGGTAAGGACTAGTTTATTTCACAAACAGCTTGACTCAAAGCAAGAGCAAGCGCAAAGAGCTCACAAAAAGTTCAATAAATATTAGGTGTCTATAAGTATTTACACACATTTATTTTCTCAATTCTATCAAGATTTCTCAATACCAATGCCTGCATTACCTTCTGGTACATCTAAAACGTAATCAGAGCTATCTATTTGGGGCCAATTGTCAGATTTTTTTTCCTTAATGTTAACAACTTTTTCTCATAGCCCGTTGACAGAAACATGGCAAAGTTAAAAGTTGCTTATATGCAGTCTAACTATGCAGTCTATATGCAGTCTATATGCTGGTCTACGGGAAAAAGTTTAATGGTAAGATTAATTTTTTTGACAGCGGGGCTAGATGTCATTAAAATCTAAACATAGGGTTGGAAAATAATGGCAGTGGCACTGATAATTCTCTACAACCACACCTAACCTTTTAATGAATTTGGGTCAATCAGGTTGTCTTTTTTGTTACAAATTATCATTTTACATAAATTTACAGTGACTTAAAATAAAAGGATTCCGTTCTGATAAACCTCTCTAATTGATGAATGTAGGTTGTTAAAATTCCTGACATCGATTTTTATACGATAATTTGGAATAGACAATTTTATATTGATATATATATAAGACTTGATAACACAAGAATTTTTTTATACTGATTTCGGTGTTTCTACAGAAATACGACAAGCAGTTATGCACACATGGTTATATGATACTACTATTTCATCAAGATAATTAACAGAAACATTCACAGAATACTGGCCTGTGTCTTTGCTGTTGTTTAACCCATTTTATGAAGGTGGCCTTTATGTGCTGTTTGACTTATTTGTCAAGACCTCCATCCCATACTGTGTGGAAATTTGTTAGGGCGCTCTTAAATTATATTTTGTTTTGAAGTAGTTCGACCATAATTTAAAGAGTGAGAAAACGGGTAATTTTTGTTTGTTTTCTGCAGAAAAATTATCATGATATATAACAGTCATACCTCGTCTATAGTCAAGTCTTATATCTAGCTAAAACCTGTATTATCAAGCCACTTAAGAGAAATGCAAAAAAGCGGTCTCTATGGAGAAGCAGCCTTTCTGTAGAGGTAGGCTAGCTGCTATTTTGAATTTTTACTAAACAAAGTAATCATTGCATATAAAGTAATCACCCTGTAATTTTAAAAGTGTCATCAAGAGCTAATAATACCTGTCATAAGAGCTAATAATAATGGCATATTACAAGGTTTTGGTGCCATACCTATGTTATATACTTATATAGGTCTTACATACTTATGTATAAGGTCATGTTTTACCCTTGTTTCATTTGTTTCCTCTTTTCAACGGGGGATTCACCTGTTTTGAGAATATTGGCAAAAGGGATAAGAGGGTGGCGGAGTCGGGAAACGTAGAAAAGGTATGGATCGAGAATGTCGAGAAGGAGAGGGCTGGAGTATGTGGCCGTGGCCAAGAGTGGAAATTCAAAGGGTGGGCGTGTAAAGTGGTTCCAGGGAAAGAGATAAAGGAGGGGTGTGGAGAAGGACTAGGAAGGTGTGAGAGAAGTTAAATGTGGCAGGAGAGGGGAGTGTGCAGGATAGAGAAAAGCGATGGCGAGTGGGTGGAGGTGGAAAGCTTGACGAAGCTGTGGGAAGGAGTGGAGAAGGGGTAGTGATGAAGGGAGAATGTGGAAGAGGGAAGACAAAGGTTGACACCAGTATATGGTTGACTGTTCTGATTTCAGCTGGCTGGAAGGTACATGATTATGGGGACCTGGATTTTGAACTGGTCAAGGAAGACGAGAGTTATGGACCATGTAACATCCAATTGCCGCGAACCAACGGACTCGCCAATAAACTAGTAATTACCTGTTAATGTTTATAGTTATGCTACCTTTTATTATTAGTTATAGAAAATGTATAATCTACATAACGATTATGAATAATCCTAGAACACATTTAGGTTTAATTATTATTATATTAATAAACGAATATTTTATTGTGATCCTGCTGTGCAGTGATGTCGGTGAAATATAGCCATGCGATGCCATCTGTAAAGCGCATATTTTGGTCATAAACCGACCGTGCAATCCTCCCTGGTTTCATGTAGGCATGCACAGCCAATCTCACACGTTTTGTGTCTCAGTTTGTTTTTTGTAACAGCTTAAATTGGCCCTGGTTATCCAATAATTACCATAACCCTAAACCAAGACTACGATTTTAATCAAATTCATAATTGATAATAGCTATAGCCATACTCAACTGTAATCATCATGTCACGAGATAGCCACCAAAGAATGCCAAAATGTTCTTCAGTTCAATCGATTCAATTATCTCTCATGTATGCAAGTAAAAGTAAAAGTACTCATGTATCATCAATCGCCTATAGCGCTCAGTCGTGCTTTTCATGTATTCGAAAAATCGAAGGCCGCATATTTAGCTTGGATAATCCGCTCTCCCGTTCGTTATTGATCAGTGCAATGCTTGCACGGAAATCGGCGCTTTTGCCGGCGATGCGAGTACGTGAGCGTCCGTCCCACTGTTGCCTTGCAAACTGCCACGAGCGCGTACGCTTCGCAGATCTCGGCTGCAGTGCAGAAGTCGATCGTAGATCACGGAACTTGCATCTCGATCGGCGGCGACCACAGCCTGAGCGCCGGCACGATCCACGGCCACGCGCAGGCGCACGAGGACATCGTGCTTATCTGGGTGGATGCGCACGCAGACATCAACACATCTCTTACGTCGTACACTGGTATGCCGCAGCGAGCACGAAGTATTTTTTTTCGCCGTGGTGCACGTGAGAATAGCCCGCAGACTGTCTTCATTCACACCTGTGGCTCGAACTGTATTTTGATGTGCATAGTTGTTGTATGGGTGGGCCAGAGCCGTATATAAAGATATACGTCTATATATATACGGCTCTGGGGTAGGCTATAATCGCGACAGGTAAATTATGTATGTAATTATTACCTGCAATATAGTAAACTATATGGAATTTATACCTGCCGCATATTAAACTACCGAGACTTGAATTTATATGGTAGAGATGTGGGTTGGATGTGGGATTGTGGGGTGCATGTGGATTGTGGGTTATGGGTTGTGGGTTGATGTTGGATTTTATGGGCTGGGGTCAGATACGTCCAGCTAATAAACAAGAACCGCGTGGTAATAGCGTGGGTTGATTTAAACATGTTAGACCCTAGCTACTATGTGCTGAGATCCGGGCACTTATTAAACTACTACGCTTTGGATGTGGATCAAGGAAAAGCGTGAAAAAACTGTTTTAACCAGCAAAAACGTAAATAATTCTGGATGTATAGTCAATCTACTATCCCAAAAGGTTTGCAGAAACTGTTTGAGCTTCGATTTTATTATGTGGAATAAAGACTATAGTGGGACTATGGGGGTGTTGTTTTGCTACCAGCTCTATAATCGCTGGTATTGTGTATTTAAATCTCTCACCAACAATATTTTATTGCATGCTTATAATTATATAATAAAATCCCTGTATTCGTATCTCTGCTGCGTCTGCTACAGGGCATTTGCATGGCATGAGTGGAGCTTTTTCTATTAAGGAGTTGGATAAATATATACCGAAGATGCCAGGATGGGATTGGCTCACACCCACGTACGTGCACTCAGCTATATACCCATTAGCATTTTATGTATATATTGGAGGTGCATGCTGTTTGTAGGTCATGTAACTTTAAGGGAATCTACCTTTCTGGAGCAAGCATGAGAAAAAAATACTTCTCTTAAAAATTTGTATTGCACTGTTGTTTATATGAACAATTTTTACTCGCAAGTGAACTAGCTAATTAGTTTCCATTGATTAGGAAAGCTGATCTGGCATTGTCAACGCGTTGTTCCATGTTGCGTATGAAATTAATATGCCAGTGAATGGATTTCAGTGTGGCTGCCAGAGACATCGTATACATTGGACTCAGAGACGTTGATCCCGGAGAGAGGTGGGTTTTTCATTTCAGCGAGTCATGGCTACGAGTATTTAGTTGAAGTGAGATGCACATGTGTGCTTAATTTCACATAGCTGTTTAATTGCAGTGAGACATGTAATAGTTTAATTGCAGTGAGACATATAAGAGTTGATTTGCAGTGAGACATAATATCAGAGTTGAATTGCAGTGAGGAATATAACATTTTAATTGCAGTGATGCATATAAGAGTTTAATATTGCAGTGAAACATATCAGAGTTTAATTGCAGTGGTACACGTGTGGCTGTTTAATTTCGGTGAGATGCGTGTAGGTGTGTAATTTCAGTGGGACACAGGTGTTCAATTGCAGTGGGGCACATACGTATTTAATTGCAGTGATGCGCATGTGTTTAATTGCCGTAATACACACATGAGTGTTTAATTGTGGACAGTTTGCGAATAGACTGGTACGTGAATAAAGTAGAAGTGGATATAGAGTTTGGTGGGGGTATATAGCGGCACTAAACGTGTATACCCATCTTGGATGCACACGCCTGGTGGATTGCTACGTTGAAGAGTAGCCTGAGAAAAGAACATCGCATTGATTTTCTGCGGACATTGATTAAGCCGCGGTGCTCGCAGAAATATAGTACAGCCTACGTAGTTCTCGTACGTATATCTAGCCCGACCAGGCTGTGCGACGGATTGTCTATACCGTATTGTAACCCTATAGCAATACCGTTTCTTGGAGCTAGTACGTATCATTGATAGCGCATCTCACCTCTGCCTTTTATTTAAGTTATATTCGCGGCATCTCTCAATCCTACAGCAAGCCATGTTGGCAGATGGTCGCGTCAGCTAACTCGTGCTTACCAGCTTACTTAGTTGCTTTTCAAAGCGGTCCACGATCCGCATGACACTGTGCCGTGTGCGAAAACCGATAACTCGCAATAAAATTTAAAGGATTTAATGGAGACTGAGTTTGCAAAGTTGAGTTTCACTTAGCTCTAGTACTATAGCCCGCGGATCGCTGCCGCAGGGCTATAGCACATTCTGCCATAGATGTAATCTAAGCAAATGGTCCAACTGATGTGACCAAAAATTTATCCCCAAAACGTAAAATGATCGGGCTTTTTAACACTTATCTATCAACATGGACATCTCACCTATCTTTTTGAACACTTCCACAACTTTACACCAGGTATATTTATGCTGTTATTCCTCAAAGTCTTAGCACTGAAGAGTCACGCGTGCACACATAAGCAGAGCAACCGCATTTGAAAACAAAACACCAGTAGTGCTAAGACTTTGAGGAATAACAGCATAAATACCTGGTGTAAAGTTGTGGAAGTGTTCAAAAAGATAGGTGAGATGTCCATGTTGATAGATAAGTAAGTGTTAAAAAGCCCGATCATTTTACGTTTTGGGGATAAATTTTTGGTCACATCAGTTGGACCATTTGCTTAGATTACATCCATATGCAAGACATATCACATTACATATGGCAGAATGTGCTATAGCCCTGCGGCAGCGATCCGCGGGCTATAGTACTACAGCTAAGTTTCACTCATCGTGTTGGCTTAAGTTTTTCTATAAGATAACAGCAGTGATATGGGATTATAGCTTTACGTGTGTTTGTCAACGTACCATAGTGGCACAAATCTAAATGGCTTCTCATGCAAGGTTCATATTTTGACAAGTGAGTCATAACATAAGTTAACTTTAAAGTCAAATGCGATAGCAGAAGCTCGGTGGATAGCAGGTCATAAACTGGGCCATTTTTATTATATATTATTATTGGTTGGCTGTTTTTAGGATAGACCAGGCCGATTTGGTACATATGTAGGATGATGATTATTATGGTCCAGTAAAATTATCTATGTATTTTATCAATTCCCCTTAAATAAAATTTGAAACATTCACTTAGTTGATGTCACACTCACGAGACAATAATTGTTATTTAACTTTATCTTAATAAAAGTATCATGTAAAACAAAACGTCAGTAAATATTAATTTACTGATATAATCAAATATTAATCAGATTGATGCTGATTAAAAAATAATATCCTGTTAAAATCAGTATTTGCTAATATTAATAAGCTGTATCTTTCTTTTGTCATATTAAAGGTATTTGCTGGACAAGTATCGAATACAATGCTATGATATGTATCTGGTGGAGAAATATGGCATGGCGAAAGTAATGGAGATGACATTAGAATACATAAACCCAAAGTAAGTGTAATTAATGTTTTTATTTGCACACACAGACGTGTGTACGTGTGTATGTTTGTGTGGATACATACCACGAAACGTAAAGAAACAAGCACATACAGAATTGCATCTTCTTCTGTAGGTCGTACACAGTAGTTCCTGCTGATATATTTAAGCCATCAAAATATGTCTACGGCCACTGTAAAACAAGTGTGACTAGACAGAGTGCACTCACGGAGAGTGCATACCTTTGCCGGCAACATACGCCATACGCCATACGACTCACGAACACACGAATAACCGACGATATACTCCAGCATACTGACATACACACGCTAGCTGGCTTGCTGCTTGCTGACATGTGCACGCTGCACTGGCTCGCTGCGCTGGCTGGCTTGCTGGCTTGCTGGCTGACGCGCTAATATCGATCGCGCAAACACACGAACACACGCACACGAGAGTGAAAACATAACCTCCTCCAACTCCGTTGGGCAGAGGTAAATATATTGGAACAGAATATCAACACAGCAAAAGTTAGAACTAATATTTGACGTTTCCCTTTAAGGTTGAACCGTCCAATTCATCTCAGCTTTGATATTGACTGCTTGGATATAGCATTCGCTCCTGCTACTGGCACGCCAGTTCCAGGTGGGCTTACACTGAGGGAGGGGCTCTTCCTTGCAGAAGAGCTCAACAAAACAGGTGTGCTTTTTAGTGTCGCTGCATATTCCTGCTAAGCATTATAGTTGATATACAAGATAGATTCACTATCGGAAACACTCTAGTTTATGACACGAGTTCACTTGAGATTTATACCATTTGTGTGACAATGAAATTGTATTCAATCGATTTAATATTTCATTAGTTAATTAATTATTGGCAATATATCAAGAGTAGCTCTACTAATTATGTAGCCCTAGCTTCAATCTGCGACAGTGTGTTATTCTGTTGCTGAGTGAAGAGCTATATAGTTGGAACTATATTACGATGAAACCGTACTCGTGTATGTTGGGCCGGAGCATATTCGCAAATCTGTAGTTCTTTGGAGTTGATGTATGTTGTGCTGTCTGCTGCAGAAATGCTTACGGGAGTCGACCTGGTGGAAGTGAACCCAATGCTGGGTACAGACGTGGGCAAGAACTTGACTCTGTGGGCGGCAAACCTAGTGCTGCAGTCTTGCTTCGGCAAAATAACAGCGGGAAACGTTCCTGCTGGCTTTGAGATGCCCAAGCCGGAAGACGTCGGCCTGTAGAGGGCAGCACGGTCGTGCGTGACTGTAGGAAGCGTGAAGATCCATCTAAGCCCTTTCGTTTGCTTGACGCGTTTAATATTCAGTTTGCAGTCAATGCTCGTGGACGTATAGCGCGAGTAGAGATAGCTATGTAAGTGTGAATCATAAGAATGGGATCATAGTTCATAGTGTACATCCAGCGCCATCTGTTGATCGTTCCTGCATTGGTGATTGAGTTTTTTTGAGTCAGCCAGGTGACTTGTTTATATGAATGAGTTTCTGTGATAAATCTGACAATTAACACAGGTATAAAGGCTATACGCATCCTCAAAAATGTTTTTTTTTATCTTGGTGATGGATGAATATGTTAATATTTGTCTTGCCACCTTCTGTTTTACATGAGATAGACCCCAATTGGTGTTATCAAGATGCTAGGTGGATGTGATATAGTAAGTTAGTGACACAATCTGAGGAAACGTTTATCCCAAATGACTGCGATTTGAGTGCGCAATTCTATTTCTAACATGGGAGTTCTATTGTAAGCCAATGGCATCAATATGTTCAATAGTCAATCTGTATGTCCCTGCACATGGCATCCAAAGAATAACAAATATATCATCGTTTTGGAAATGTCGTGAAATTCATTGATATGTGCTGCACACATATAGTGTTTGTTTCATATGGGATTGTGGATAAAGACGCACAACTCAAATTCATCATTCCGACTCATGTATATGTAATCTGAACTCGCGTGTGCGCGCGTGCGTCTGCGTGTGGTTTCGTAAGTACGTACGAGTGGGCATATGTCTATGCGCGGGAGTATATTACATACGATTTAACAGATGTAAGGCTATTACAAATTATCAGACTAGTCTAACATAGATTTCTGTGAATACACGTAATTTTATATACTCATTAATCCAGACACATTTCCGGAATATATCTTGCAGCATGATATCGTACAGCGGATTGTGTATAATCTAGAGAGAATGAACGTGATTATATTTTGTGATAAATATTCTAATTTGATATGCAAATTCAATACACATGTAGTATTTGAAGAATTTTTTTTTTCTTTGCACGCATTTACGTTTTATGCACGTGGATGCGAGAAATATCTTGTTTTCTTAATATCTCCAACGTTACAAATGAAGGGTATAACATGCGGTAACATGGTATTAACGTGCATAGATTAATCTCGGGTTTCCTGCAGCGAAATGGGTTTGTGCAGCGTTCGCTTATAATTCATTTAAGGAATGATGCATTCTACTTCGTCGCTTGTTTCAATTCACTATAAAGCTAAGTGCATCAATCCGGTTTCACTTTAGTATAACACAATCGATGTTTTATTATGACACTTACTTCCAGTCATTTTATTTAGTTCATCATTATTAAAAATGCAGCTATTCTAATAATATTTGCATATTTTAATGCGCGTGTTGTTGCTTGGGGTGCTGGTTATAGATTACAATGGCGATATATTATGTACGTGTATTTCGCTGTGTAGCGCGGCATACGCACAGTGAGCGCACTGCATGATGCTGCCCTCTACCTTCGTGAAATTTGTTAAATGCAGGTGTAATTCGCGTTAGTATTGTTTTCCGTTTGCTTTAGTTTGTTATACGCGCGGTCTTGCTATGCTCTTAAGCTCTGCGTGATCACGCCATAAATATGGTCGTGAAGGCGAGCTTTGCGTATATTTCTGACATCTGCATACCTGAATTTCTTATGAGAAGATGAAAGTGAAAATTTCTTACATTCCCCCTTATAGATATAAGTTATTTCTCTATATCATTATGCGGAGAAAATGTGTTATCCGTCGCGACAATGGGTATATAGAGTTTCGTATATGTTGTATGTTGTGTAACGGTGACATCATTCCAATATCACACCCGTTACGCGTTCGATGTATAGTATTTGCAACACGTGCAAGTGTTACATTTGCTTGCATGGCTTTCCACTCTGCTCATAAGAAACCTTCCCACACCTCGTGCATGTTCAGCGTAAAGACTCAGAAGCATTTGGCTACTCTGTCTCATTTGTCAGCGAGGAAGATCGCTATTAAAGATGAACGAAACACGAAATGACGAAAAATATTACCTACAAAATATGGTAGGATTCTAAAATATATATAAAGTATTGCCGGATTGTAGAGCTCGTGTCAGGGAAGGTACACATTCCCTTTTCTTCACATGTGTTGTTCGTAGTAGCGACTAGCGATACTACTACTATTACTACTACTACTGCTACTGCTACTGCTACTGCTACTGCTACTGCTACTGCTACTGCTACTGCTACTGCTACTGCTACTGCTACTGCTACTGCTACTGCTACTGCTACTGCTACTGCTACTGCTACTGCTACTGCTACTACAACTACAACTACTACTACTACGTAGTACGTAGTAGTAGTAGTAGTAGTAGTAGTAGTAGTAGTAGTAGTAGCAGGAGTAAGATAATATAGGATTCCTATATTATCTTACTCCTGGTAGTAGTAGTAGTACGGCTGTTGCACCCATGTGTCTGTGTTTTTTTATAGAGCAGCGTGGTGGAAAAAACTAGTTTTTATTTACTAGTTTGCGTGTTTCTTTACAATGATTAGTGAGAACCTTTCAATGCACACGTCTACCTATTCCTAACGTCTTCTAAACATCTTATCAGGTTTTTACATCTCGACGAATTTCTTTATTATTATTATGTTATTTTCGTCATTTTACTGCGCCGCCTTGCCCTGAGGAACTGATGCTTCATGTTAGAACAACTATTTTGATCTGTACGCACACGTGCGACAGTGCAGGATAAGCTGGTGTGTTTTTCACGCGTCTTCCCCGCTCACTGTCTAACTACTAATGTACGGAAACCTAGTCCCGCACTGACACAGAATTAATTTTCAGCAGACCAGTCACTTTTCAGAATTACTTTAGGAGTCACTTTTTAGGCGGCGGCTTGGCCACAGCGCGTAAAGTTATCGCGCGTGTAATCTGCTCACCCTCCTATATTCCTCGGTGGCGCCACCTGTTAGAATTATAAGCAACCGAGCTTGTTTTATGCTTGCCGGCCTCATAGAATTTTACACACTAGCATGCTGTCACAAATGAATGCGCGTATTCATTGCACGCTACTGTAATATAATTTTGCTGTCATCCTGCATGTCATCCTTGCATGAGTGCGCTCTTTGGTTTTCGTCCGTTAAGACCTGCATGACCACTAAATTTCTCCGTCTTGTTGCTGCTGGCATCAATGTTTACATCTGGCTTCGCGGGCAATTGCGGGGCATGTTAGGCCGTGTCTTTTTGGCTTTTTGATTCTTTAGCATATGTTTTCCCCTTAAACCTACTACCTTACGCCAGACTTTGCTACTACGATTGTATTAGTGTTGCGCTGAAATAATAAAAGCGTGCGTTGTCTTTGCCATTTTCACTAACTATCAGGTACTTATTTGTGAGTAGGTGCATGAGTTCAAATGTAAGGGTAATAATGACACTCGCGGAGACAGGCGCATGGCACCGAGTTGCTTATGACATTCAGTCTAGCTATATTCCGAACTGAGTAATAATTAGTACAGCGTCATTTATGTTTTAGGCCAAATCTTAAGTTAAATTTATGAATTGTTAAGTGGAACTAGAAAGTGGTGTATAACGGTAGAGGGCGTCCATAGGCAGCAGGCATGGGCCTGAATGCGATTATTTTTTCCATACCGTTGACGCGTCAGCGCTCGCTATGCGTATCGGGAATGCATATTGGGTTACGGTTAGGGTTAGGGTTAGGGTTAAGCCATGGTTAGGGTTAGGGTTAGGGTTAGGGTTAGGGTTAGGGTTAGGGTTAGGGTTAGGGTTAGGGTTAGGGTTA